TCTTTAGAAAATTAATTTTAAGCACCTATGTGGCAAGCACAAGGTCCCAAGTTTGATCCTTGGTACTGCAAAAAATAAATAAAATAAAATAAAATAAAATAAAAAATAAAAAGGGCCAGGGATATAGCTCAGCAGTATAAGCACCTGCCTGGCAAGTGCAAGGTCCAGATTCAATCCCCACTATTGCAAAAAATAAATAACATCTAAAAAATTGAAATTTAACTTTAATGAGTTTTTCTCCTGGAGGAAGTCTTTTTATCTGCTGGAAAATTAGCACATGAATAGGAAGGACACCCTTTCCTGAAAAGATATCATCAACAAAGGTTTTCTTTTTTTCTTTTTTTGGGGTGAGGGGCTGGGTCTTACAATGCAGCCCATCTGCTGACCTGGAGTTCCTAATCTTCCTGCCTCAGCCAAAGGCCAAGATGAAAACCCAGGATAACAATTTCAAATTCAAAGACCCTAATTCTCTGGCTATGATCAAACAGCATCTTTAACCACAAGACTCCTAAATGGTACCTCCTAACTTGTTAAACAAAGGCAAAAAAATAAATAAATAAATAAATAAATAGTAACTGACCAGAACTGGAGAAGAGGCATCCTGTGACACCTACCACTAAATATTTCCTTCCAGTTGAGACCCCAGCTCTTCCCTGAAATTGGTTTCCATTTAACTCCATTTACTACCTCAGTTAAACTGAAATTTTCTACTCTATTCGATATAAATTGATATATTTCCAAAAACATCCTTAAACTGTTTAGCTATTGGTGTCTATGTAAATAGCAAGTTTTAATCTTTCACTCTTGTCAATTTATTCGGAATAAAAAAGGGAAGACAGCATATAATTAACTTATGCACTGCCACCAATTCAGTAGCTAAGTATGGTTGCAGAACAGGCAACATATATTTATGGAGAATGTAAATAATTTAAGGCTATTCAAAATCCAGTTTCCATTAATGTCAAAAAAGTGTTTTGATGGCATCTTTCTTTTGTTAAGGTAAAACCTCCCTTATACCAACTATCATCAAGACAAAAATAAAATCACCCACCACCACACACTGCAGAGCATAAGCCAGATAATAAAGAAATGTAGGATGGGTTCACATATATACTTACTACAGCACAGGGACCCGTGTCCCAAGCCTTACATATGCTACACTCTCATCACTGAGCTATATCTCCAGCTCCTTGTATACTTTAAAATGAGGTCTTACTGATTTTCTCACTGTTTCTTCAAACTTGCAACTATCCTGCTTCAGAGTCCCAAGCAGTTAGGATTATAGACATGTGCGTTTAATAAAATGAAATCGATAACTTCCCAGCACTCAATCCTACCTGCCATCAAGAATCAATGGAGTTTAAACTGGTTGCAGAAGCACTCCTAACTGGGAGCTGAGAGAATTGAAAACAAAAGTCTGTACATGCTCACCAAAAGCTTTTAAAAGTATCTTTTCTGGGGCCAAGGGATACAGCTCAGTGACACAAATGCTTGCTGGGCAAGTGCAAGGTCCTAAGTTGACACTCAATACCAAAAATAAAATAAAAAATAAAGTACCTTTTCTATGTGTGGCTAATTGAATCCCTGTACACAGAACCACTGTTGCTGTCATTGTTTTTATCAGGAATCATACCCAGGACCTTGCACTTACAAGGCAGGTGCTGT